GTAGCGAATGAAAACGCCGCTAAGAAGCTCTCCACTGACATGGAGAAAATCAACTTGGAGCGCAGAAAGTCCTGCCGAAAAGTGGAGATGGAACAGGAGGCACTGTGTCAGCAATTTTTCGACATTGCTGGCAACCCTACGGCTGAAATGGAGGAAGGCGAAGAGGAACAAGCAGTCACAGAGAGTCCATCTGAACTCAACCGCAAAATCTCTGACCGGTTCGATATCCGAAAGATGTCAGCGCAAATTAATCGCTCGAAGACAACTGATATGACCTCCACCCTTAGTAAGACGCCCACGAGGCAAGGCATTTCTGATAAAGGCGAACTTTGTAGCATCAATTCTGCCTCAAATCGCAGTCTGGAGACTGTCGGTTCATCTCATAGTGGCCATTTACACTCCTTCACCAAAAGCCCATCCTTCTCTTCTTTGCCACCAGACGAGGAGAAGCTGAGGTTTCGTTTCAGTCAGAGCGACCTTGCCCAGGCTGCCTCCACGGAACGTATCAGACGTGCTGTTTCCCTCAAATGTCGTCGCAGACCTACAGTCAGTACGCTGCATCCGCTTTCTGATATGCCATTGCCCCCCTCCTCCCTCAGCCCGAAAACATCAACGTACTCTGCAGCCGGTGGCCCAAAATCGACGGCCAACAACATGTATCTGTTCAGGAGGCTGTCGTTCAACAAAAAAGCCCAAATGCGCGAACAGCGTTCCTCCTCCACGACGCAGATTCGGAACAGTTTAAGCAACCTGCTCGAGACGTCTGCCTCGGATACAGGCCCCCTTTCACCGCCTGCGCAGGATCTGCCGGAATGGCAAATGGCACTGGCCCAGAAACGCCGGGAGAGACTGGCCCAACTACAGGCCTATCGTGAACACGGTTGCTGGAATACTAGTACACAGGCGGTTGCTGCGCTCCTCTCAGGCTGTCCCTTCAGCCCGGTGCCAGCAGGTAGCTCGGTTCTTTCGCATGCCAGCGAACTCTCAACTGAACAACAGAAGGCAGAGGAGGGAGAGAATGAGTTGGAGTAGGAGTCACAATGCGAACTGAAATGCCCTCTGTTAAGTTCCCTCAACATCGCCATCTATAATCCCCATTTTCGTACGTAATTTTGCCGTGAACAGGTGTGTTTGTGTGTTTGAAAGATACAGAAAATAATTATTTTTCCCAGTAAATCCATCCTGATATATCAGATGTTTTGTTTTTGTAGACATTGCGCACACTGTTGGTCGTCTGATAAGATTAAAACTCCGGGTGTACTACCACCGCAGAAGAAGAGCTAGGATTGGGAAAGATTCTGAGCATGTACGCAGATTTTCATCGAACTGTTTTTCAAGGTTGATCAGTAGAATGAGATAGATAAATTACATTGTAATTTTCCACAAAACAAGTTAAACCAACTAGTTAAAAATTTGTCGAAACTGACTTGTAGGACCCCTATAAATATCTATCCCCCCGCCAACTGCTTAACGTATTTCGTGGTCAAACATTTAATTCTTGGCTAGTAAGCTTAAATTAATATGTAATTTTGGCGGGGGTGATCAAAAAATATTAAATTAAATAAGATTATATTTGTCTTAATATGCTAAAATAGAATAAAATTCGATCAACGTGAACCTCTGTTGCGCAGGTTATGAATGTCAATTAGGGGAAATTCGACCGCATGTAGGCGGAATTTAACGAAAATGGAAATTCCTCCTCCTATTGGTGGAATTTAACGAAACAATTCAATGTCGGGCTACTGAACATTTAAAAGTCGTTTTTTCTTATAAGTTGACGGGATTCTTGGGGCCTCTAAAATCAGTCCTGCCAAAATGTTGACCTGCGACCTGGTTACAAGCAACCATCAACCTTTCTTGTCTGTTTCCTTCTCCAACACTAAGATTTTGAATTTTTAAGAGCCTGCCTGGAGTTTGAGGCAGTTTCATTGATAGCAATTTTTTAAATCCACTAACATTGTCCCCCGTGGAGACGATCTTCGCAGCTGTTTTCGCCCCCTCCAAATGTTCGGCCATCGTTGCGTTTTGCTAAAGAACTCGATGGGCGCCGCTGTTTTGTAACTTTGAGAATAGCTTCCTCAGCCAACCGCTATGGTCTTCGAGGTCTCTTATACTTTACCCTATACGAACTGTGACGACCTGGTCAGCCGTCGTACCTACCGTATCCTGTTCCCATAGCCTACGCGGCTTTTTAATCTTCACCCTTGTATCAGACTGCAACGGACTGCTGAAGATCGTAGCGTGATCTTCTGTCTTCACCATCCTGTAGGTGGACTCTACAATCAACAGGGGACTGTTATGTTCACACATCAACCACTTCAATTATGATACTCCTGCCTTCTATGGTTCCCTCGTTTCGACCCTAAGTGTACCGGTGATGTCCGCGATGGGTCCCTTGTCTCGCCTCCCTGACAGTGGCTCCTATAGCTAGTAGTACCACTAAACGCGGATAATATGTAGCCCCTGCCGTTACATTATCTCTCCCACGACGAGAAGCGTTTAGAACACCCACACGCTCTCATCAGCATGACGGTCCTATCTCACATTTGTATGTTCCACCCACGAGCGACAGTTTTTTCCCCTTAACAACCCAAAAAGTCAAATCAACTTATAAATTTTCCGAAAAATGCCCAAATGGTTTTTCACTGTCCGTTCCTTGTTGGTTTTTAGCCCACCTCACTATCTTGTACCAGTTGGAATCTCCAATAAGCTGATGTATTCTTCACAACAGTTCGCTCCTTTCATATAGGATTTTTGACCCTTTATCTTAATTTTTAAAAACAGTGCCCTTCTGAGTACTAGTTTCGCTTGTGCCCATTGTTGTTTGAAGTTCCCGGAGGCTCGAATCTCTAAAGGACATCCCAACAAACCCTAATTAGTTGCATTTCAGGTAATTTTACAGCATGGTCAACGAAACACTATTATTCAGGCTTAAACAGAAGTAGTCAAAGAGGTCTCTCAGCGGAATATTAGTGTTATACTTATCACCGATGCAATACGCAAGTCACCCTTACGAAACCTGGTACATATTGTGTGGAGTACGTTCCCTGTGGCTTTTTACCGTTATCATCATCCCATCACAAGCTGAGATTTGATTGATGCATGCAAAGAGAGAGAGTGGGGTTAATA